CACTTTGGGTGTGAACGGTGTCATGGTCTGCTCAAGTAATATACTTAGTAGTTATGGTAAAGGAGCCGAAGTACGTTTCTTAGTAGACCGTTAACTATACTTTATGCTTTCCTAATCCCTTATGTAAACAGCAAACGCCCAGCAACCTGTCATCTGGTGGCTCCATAATACCTTAGACCTACTTTGGAGCCAGTGTGAACCCACCCACATCAAACTACATCCCACATCGATTTGCAATCAAGTAGCTTGCGTCCCTCGTGTTGTTCGACTTACCAAAGTCAATTCTTCCATTCGTAAGATAACGTCACTCTCTTCGTTGGCCTCCCCAAGACTTTTTCGGCATTTTGAGCACACACCTACAAATGATTATGTGTAATCAATGATGTAGCAGCGTCAAGCGTGCACAATTTCACGAATGAGCACTGCGCAAGTAGTCATGGCGTCGTATAGACCATATATATTAGTCAATATAATGCTAGCAATCTACCAACCTACCTGAACCAACAGCAAGAAAAACACCAGTCTCTTTTAACACAGTTTTCGATCCATTTTTGCTCAAACCCCGCTCTGCTTTTGGCTTCCTTTTGACATCGGCTTTGTGCTGAGAAAGAGTTACGGGTACAGAACATTTCGCTGATGTCCGTTTCCAGCTAACGCCCAAGGACGCACGGTGATGTGGACAGATTGTAAGGCTGTCTATGTTTCTTGGTAGCTCAAAAATACATGCTCTTGCGAGAATTAGTTCGACCTCRGTTTCAACTCCAACTATACGAAAATATYGTTTGTGCTCGRCGATATCCCGTTTACATCTTGTCAAAGGAACGTTAGTAACAGATCTACTTCTTTCTTTTGGGTCAAACCCACACTGACCACCAACGATAGCTTGAAAAGAACACGATTCACTACGCGCCTCCATAACTGATGTTCACCATAATTAACAAACTTCTAGACTGACTAACACTTTGTTAAATGCTGCTTTTATTATTGTCTACCTGGTAATGTACAACACATTTTTCTAATTTGACTTAAACTGTCAAATTCCTGGACATTTCGGCCACACGCGCTTCATGTTCAAATCATAGTTCTATCAAATCGCACTATCTACATAAAATGTTAATTTAAATTTAATTTCTTACTTCTCATAGTCGTATTTCAGATTTACGCTTTCATGAAACAAGGGTAATCTATCATACATTCGATCTATTGTACAGCCATAAGGCCAGTGGGGTAGGGGAGGGGGAATTGTATATCAGGCTACAACTGCACTCATACATGTAACCAATTTTAAACATGGTCGTTCCATCAAGCAAGAAAACATATGATAGCTAAAAAAAATCTTGATGATAAGTGATTCTCTTTATTTTATGCCAAATCACAAGATGTTCAGGCAATAAAAATCGTACTGTACCAAACGACGTCACGTCCGGCTCCGCGCAAACTGTTGTTTGCGCAAACTGTTGTTTGTCACGCCATCAGTTTACATAATCCGCTTTGACATGTTTGATCTCTGCTTATTTGCAAGGTAAACTTTCAAACTTTCAAGCTTTAATATACTCAGTATGTGAAAAAAACTATGTGATAACTGGATACCACTAGAGAGGAATAGTAACGTTTATAGAGCATGTTAACAGTCATTTATGATTACTAAGTTTACTACGCACCGATGAAATGCCACCGAGGCAARCAAGACGAGTGTCTTCAACACCGGAAATGTAAGCTTAACTTCAACWGATAATCATTTAATATCAAAKCAAAGGCCAAYCATGCTTAGATAGTCCTTAGATAGGCTAATGTGTGGATTATTAAGCTGTTAAAACTATTTAGATGACTTTTTTTGTGGCCGTGATCTGTGGCGTGGAGATGTAAACAAACCGCTAATTTGCATATTTACATGGCAATTTTTTCCAACTTCGCATGACGTTTTCATACGGCCTGTGCAAAAACCCAAACTAATTTTTGCAATTCATGTTAATATGTCACTTGAACATTGTACAGCTTGAGTTTCGTAAAAATTGGAGAATGGCCACATGCAAAAAATCGCTTTTATAAATG